ACCATTACGCCACCAGTAAAGCTACTATTTTCACTCCCATAATCCGTCTTGTGATCTCACTCGCTCTCTCTCTTCCATCTGACCCTATAATATCACTTAATTTATCAAGGTTCACCCTATCACCGTTATCTCCTCTGAATCTACCTAGGTTTCTCCTTCCCTTCGGTTTCTCTTTTCTTCCCCTTCTTTCGCACATACTCTCTCCTGATTTCTCCACACCCCTTTCTTCCTTTCCATCTTCTTATTACAACCAGTCCAAACAACTCTCCGGTGACATGTTACTTGTAGAATCTATCTGCCCCACAGTCCTTGGAAAGATCATGCAATCCCTGCAGACTTAACGCCAACTATCTGTCTGTCTGACTAAAGCTAGTATAAGCGATTGGGTGGACCTACCTCGTCGGAATCTACCAAAGGTCTGGAAGCGTTCTGCAAGATCTAGTAGAGATTGTGAATAGATCATTTGGTTTAAAGTGGTCGCAATCGTTTTTTTGGTTTTCCATGTTGTTGATAAGGGTATTGGTTTTAACAAATAGGATGAGTTCAAAAATCTCAGAAAGAAGAAGTGAATATATAACAGTCATGTTAACCTGGTTTTTTTATTTGAGGAGGGAAATGATGCAAATTTTACTCGTTGCCACTATTGGACTACTTGGTTGTTTAACGTCATCAGTATAGAATTGCCCTCAGCCTGAGCGGCAATTGAGGCTATTTATGGTTTGGATGTGAGGCAAGAAATGTAAGCGATTGCTGTTGTGGATTGTCTTTATGCTTCTACAGTTGCATATGGTTACTATACAGCCACCAATAAGTAGTTTTTCTGACTTCAGAAAAAGACTCGGGTATACTTCTTTGAACTTCTGTTTCTTTTTATTATCGTTTTCCTTCACATATTTTCATGTCTTCAAGACTGCCTTCCTGATATGAATAAGCTCGCCGATGTTGCGAGTAACTTTCAGCAGTTATACTGTAGGTAATTTTCGCACTAGGTCGTAAGTATGTACGATACTGGTTACCTGTAGTCGAACGCAGTTGTTTTGTATTTGAGGCAAATTGGTCTTCTTGTCCTTTCGCATTCCTCAATAAATACATTTCCTCTTTCAACTTACCTTCCACAACCGTTTTTCAGAAATTTGGCTACAGAATTATTGTTTGGGACTCAAAGGCCTGCTGCAGACAAACTAGTGTCAAGGCCGCTAGTTTTTCTGCAAATGTTTGGGATTTTCCGATTCAGTACGTTACATTTTAGTTTTACCTCATAAAGTGGTCTCCGTAAAATAAGAATCGTAAAAAACTTAGGGAATTGGGGGGAAAATTCGCTGCTGCTAATTAACTGGCTAGTAGGTGTGTCCAAACATTCCCACTAAGATGCGAACGGATGTTACTGATTATTATAGGCACCGCTGTAGTATTTTACAGTTTCTTGAAATTATAAGTTGATGGTGTTTCTAAAGGGAGTCAGTGAGTAGTGGCTTTTTCGGTTCTGGCGCAACTACTCACAGATTTTCTGGTTTAGTAGCCAACGCGGACCGGTAATTTATTTCAGATCAAGGTAGTACTAGAATGAAAGTCGTAGTTGAGCATTGTTATGTGCACCATAAGGGAACTTTAATGCAAGGTGTGGTGCTCATACCTGGTAGATGAAACGTGCTAGCCAGTTTTCTATCACTTAACATGAGTGACATGCCCATTGCATTAAAAATTTGCGATACGATGAGAATAAACATCCTTCTATCTATCATTACTATGTTCTGTTTGTGCTCGTACTCCATGGTCAGTTAGGTTTAGGCTAAACTGGGATGTGATTTAACCAAAGTCTCTGTACCTGTTTAATTTGTACTTATAAGTTGTCCATTTGCTATGAAATCCAAAAGTAAATCTCGGACAGTGCTGTCCGCTTGAAGACTTCAGATTGTTGTTTGAGAGTTGACTTAACTGTGATGGCTGAAAGTCAGTGTTATAGTTTAAAGCCATAGCTTAAATATTTTGATAATTTCCAAGCCACCTATCATCGTTAATCCTCATCTAATCTCTTACTCGCTTCCTCACCTTCATTGGAGCTGTAACTCAGCGGTTTGGGGAGATGGCTGTCAACCACTGGGTCATAGGTTCGAACTCCGCCCCACCTGTCGAGGTTTGAGCAGCCAACAAGTACCACTAGCCTTCATACGGGTGTGGCTCATTGCCTGGTGCACGGATGGGCAGTGTGGTAGTGTTCCCTTTTCTTCGTTTTTCTCACTCGCAAGCTTGCAGTAAACCCACTCAGGAACTGTTATTTGGGATCATTTTCTGGTCCTATGCTACTATTATTTCATTCTATTCTTCTGAAAATCTTCATTTGTCTGAGCTGCAGTTCTCTAGCACAGAGGTAAGGAAAAAGTAAGGTGTTTGTGTGGTGAGGGAGCGATACGAGTCGAGATAGTTCTTTTCTTCTATATTCTACTCTGTCGATTTTAAGTGGAAGTAGAAAATCAGTCAACTTGTATGTCGCGGTAGAATTTCTCTGTGCGAGAGTCAAGTGTGCCGACTCTAACTGATGACTAAATTTAAGTCCACTGAAGTTTTTGTTTGAACATCCGTTAGCCATCTCTATTCCGGCCATGCCAAGATGTTTAGGTAGCACCTGATGGTTCCTTCCAAGTTATTCAGGTATTATGAATCAAAATATGTCAAAACTTCGCAACTATCTGGGCCTTTCACAGATATTGACAAGAAAACGATGGTTAGTTAGTCCAAAAAGCGGGTCACTGAAAGCCTCTTGGGAAAAGCGACTGAGACGTTGGAAGGATCAGCGAGGAACAACTTAACTGACCTACAGCTCCACTTCGCTAGTTCCACATGTAATACAAACCTCAATAGGATGTAGGTGTCGGTCCTCTCAACTCAACAGTTGAAACTTTCACACATCAGACTGCACAGCAGTGGGAGCTGATGCTTTACCATATTAAGCTTTTGAGAAGAGTGGTAAAAAACCGCAGCTGAGATACTAGCTAGTGTATGAGAATCAGGAGCAGTCCTATCAGATTGGTGTAGATCACCAATCATTCCAGTTTATGAAAGCTTCTTGCGACCATCATCGGGCGATCACTTTGACTCACCGTTTCTAAAACCCTAGGCTTCATGGTTATGCGGTGCCTAGCTGTAGCTGAGTGGCAAACTCGAGAAAACCAGGTAGGTTTCAGACCTGGGCGAGGGTACGTCTGAGATGTTAACCTTTGAACAGGTTTTGGAACAAATGGTTACTTGTCAGTGCCCAACACTTGCGTACTTCACGACATGAAGTTAGCACCTGCCAACTTACGTTATCTGCAATACCGACAGAATATCTAACTACCTATAGAAAATCGAGTGTACTCTGTAACGGTCTTATTGTTGAACTGTAGAGTAGAATAAATGAGATTATAGGTTTCCAATAATAGATACCTTTTTAGCGTTGGTATGCTTGCTGGCCCTAGATACTCGCCTTCTTGACTTGAAGCTGGCATTCTACTCTTAGGATCAAGTGATACATAGTGCTAATCAAGGTTTATTTGAATACACGCAACCCTATGAAGGCTAAAGTGACAACAACTAGTAATGTCCACCTGGGATACTTGCCTTCACTGTTCTTGGTTAACACTGTTAGACGTGCCAGCGGACATAACGTTAGACTTACTTCCAGGAAGGCACCTGATTGACTTGCAGTACACAAAGGACATAGTCCTGTTAGGTGAAATACAAACACTACAATCTTCAATCCCCTGAAGTTTGAGTATGTTTAGCGTGCGTCTTTCACCTGTCAAATGTAAGATGATGGTCTGCTCGAGCTCCTAGTTTTAGGACAGGGCACGGAGTAATTAAATCAGGTGACTACCTCACTTACTTGGGAAGTTGCATAAGCTCCTAGACTCTTTTCCCTGCCGAAATCTCAGAGTGGATACAAAAAGCCCATTTAGCATTTACCGAATTCGACCATCGACTCTAGTGAGGTTTCTGACTGCCTATTACAAGAAGAGTATACTGCATTTCAATCCTCTTCGTCATTGTATACAGCTATCATACCTCAAAAGTAGATATGATATATACCTGGCCTCATAGTCTTCATAACATTGCTTCCATGTATTGGTACACCACAAGTTATACCTTCATTGGATTTGATATATGCTGAGCAAGCCGAGCCACTACCGCCTACCTCAATCTGCGATATTAGCAGGGGTGGGATTGGGTTTCAGGGAGGCTTTAAGTTGTTAGATAAAGGTGTATCACTCCCTACAGAAGTGTAACTGTTGGTTGGTGCCGTGTAAGGAGTTGTAGGCTTCCTCAGTGGGGGTCCTGGGGCTGGTAGGAATCAACGGTTAAAGATTCTTAATGATATGGCTGAAATTGGATACAATAGCGCAAATGTATTCTATCTTCGATATCCTCGAAGTTATAAATATTTTCTCTAGCCTTCATATATTTATTCTTTTAACTCTCTTACACCTTTGTCTACCTCAATATCATGTTTCGTATGCATTTACTTTCTGCATACTGTTATGAAGGATAGAAACTTGAATCGATCCACTTCTGCTGAAAGTTCTACGTTGGTTTGTTTTTCCACCTAGAAACTGCTGCTCATCAAAAATGTTAGACATATCCTGAATGCTTTCATCTTTAAAAATTGGCGTTTAGAGACTCGATAGTATGACTCGAAATAGATCATAGCGGTACAGAAAACTTACTTATCACCTTAGACATCCTTCACATATGATTGACATTCATTTACTGGCTTCTCCCCTTCTATATTCTTGTTTTATTGTTAAAACCCTTCTGTTCCGTTTCTCCACATTGTTTTCGCAATTGTGACAATTTTAGGCACTTCATTTTTGATTGGGGTACTTTTTAATTTTCTCTCTGTCTATATTCTGAAGCTGCTATGTGAAACTATGATGCCTTCATAGCTAATTTTCGCATTTCCCGTGTTGGTATAAACATTTGATCACACTTTTTTCTCATTTCAGTGACCTTAGAAACTACGCATAATGCTAGTTTCTGATGTACCATGTAGTTTTCTAAAAGAACTTGTTGAAGAATGTAAGTCATGGATTTATAGTTTTTCATTTTTGTTTAAAGATCCTAAGGATATAAAGTCTTACGAAGAGTGGTTTTCATTCCTCAATAGAATGGAAGTAAGAGTTAGGTCAGTGAGTTCGGAAAAACCGGTAGTCACTCTTTTGAGAATATATGAGTGTGCCCTGAATGTAAGTTATTACGATCAATAGACATGCTATTTTTGACAAGTGTTTAGATGCGGATTGGACGAACCGAATTTACGTCATAATTTTCTACCGAAGAGCCGTGCTAGCGTCACATGAGTAAGTTATCCATTGCAGTTGTAATTGTACTTAGAGATTGGGAATCTGGTTCTATGTATCTTAGTTTGTGTTCGATAAACGCACGTCTAAATGCTGCTTTGATTACAGCTGTAGCTTATCAATATTGCATGCATGGT